TTCGCTTCGAGCAGGTACTTGCCGACAATGTCGTAGTGTTCGGGCCGGATGTTGAGGGAGCAGTGCTTGTTGCACATGCGTTCGAGACGGGGGATGAGCTCGGCTGTGTGGTTGAGGTTGGCGGCAAAGGCCAGGATGACAGACGTCAGGGCACGCGGTTGCCGGCCGTTGGCCTGGTTGGCTGTGTTGAACATGTCATGCAGCTCCGGATGGGCGCGCAACATGTTGGCGTAGAAGAGGCTTGTGATGGTCTCGCCGTGCTCGCGCAGGGCGGGGATCGAGCCCCGCACGAGAACCGACTGCTTGTACGTGAGAGCCATGACGGACAAAGCACGTCACGGGGAGGGGCGAGTCTCGGTGATCAGGGTCTCTTTCCTCGGCGAGGGTGGAGGATGAGGACGTGCCGTTGAATATTCAGTGCCAAGGAGTATATGGCAATGGTGATCGCTCGTGCAAGGGGTTGGTAACAGTCGATATTTCAAATCCCGTGGGTGAGCAGGAGGTCTCAAAAGATTCCTGGATCGTTCGTTGAGGCTCCGATAATGATCCTCTACACCTTGCCCTTCTCAGATGGCCCGGGGAAGGGCAGGGCAGGTCATGACTTAGATATAGCACCCCTCCCACTCCATCTGGGCGGAGAACTTTCTCCACGCAACGACCAAAGGAAGGGTTTTTTTTTTCTCATCATCTAGTTCTCCTCATTCCCGTTCTTCCATGGGGCTCTGATCCCGGACCCTCCTCGTGGCTTACTCGTGGCCTGGTTGTCTCACCGCCGTCTACAGGCACTACCCATTGACGGCGTTGACGATATCGTATGATGTTGGCTTCTGTCGGATATACTGGTGTTTATTGTAGACACGACTTGACCCGCACCACGTCCCTTGCAACGGCCACGATCTGACAGGCAAGACAAGCGGCCAGCCAATGACAGACGTGGCGTAGTCGAGTGTAACAGAGGGAAGCGCCCAGAGCACCCCTCCCCTGGACAGAAGCATTCCTGTCACAAGTGACATGTCAAAACGAAATTCTGCCTCCCCGTCGCTTCTCTGGTGGGGGCCACGAGGGGGGGGCCGAGGGGGGCCGAAGGGGATCAGGGGAAAGCTCAGGGTAACTGTTTGCGGAGTGGGGTGTCAAGTCAAGACGGGAGAGACCGAGACCCTTGAAACCAAACTAGGTCGTGTAATAAGGTCGCTTTTTGGCCAGCAAAGTTTGACTTGGAGATGTTTCGTCCACATTTCGTGAGAGCCGATAGAGCCGGACTGTGATAGCCTTCTCAGGTTGAAACTTCGTCGTTCTCTATTCCCTTGCATGATTCCACGCGTCCTTGGTCAATTGGAAGTGGATATCGAGATGACCGAAGCAGATGGCCACGTCGAGTTGCCCTTTCAATGCGAGTATGGGACGGTCATGAGACGCCGAGAAGGCCGACAAGAATGATGGAGATCCAGGCGTGGGGTGGTCACGGCCATGGCCAGCCGCGGCAGAGGAGGGTTCGTTTCGAGGCTTGTGCTTCGCTTGTCGATCCCTCTTCTTGGAAGCAAAGGGGGGAAAAAACCACGCCACTCTGGCGCAGGGCTGGACCTAGATCAAAATGGAACATCGTATGATGGACGCACAATTCCGCCAAGGAGCCGCGAAATGACATCAGGGTTGGTCGGTGCCCAGAACCACACTTGGCAGCCTTGGTGTGGGAGGCACAGGCGATGGTAGAATCTTTTGTTGTCGAGCTGGAACTCTGAAAAGCGGCATGGCCATCTGCTGCATCTATCTCGATCAATGTAGCAAAACCTTACCTTGATGCCATCTGAAGCGCGGCACAAAGTAAATCGCAGTGGAGATTTCCGTGTTGAATCATCACTGTCGTCATTGGTCATAAGCGATTGGACCGTGTGCTCTGGGGTGAGACAAGAGAGAAGGCTGAACACGTGTTTCTGGTGGACTTGGCCAAGGTGTTCACGCTCTGGTGAGGTGAACTTGACCAAGGTACTGAGGTACCTACGCAGGGTTGTCAAGTGTCCGGCAATAAGGACTCAAGTGCCGGTAGTACGGGTCCATTGGTCCCTTGATCAAAGTACCATGTACATGTAGCACACCTCGGACGCTCCGTCTCGCGCACTGCGTGTCGCTTCCGCCTCACAAGCCACAACGAGCCACAGGCCGAAAGGCTGGTTCTAGCGTGCTGGCGCCTCGACCAGGTCAACGTCCTTCATTTTGGTCCACCACAAACGAAATGGTCTGTTCTTGGGCTCGCCAACTTTCTGCTTTTCTGCCCTAGAAGTGGACCGAACGAAGTACGCCTCCTCGTCTGTTCGTCACTACGGTCCGATCTCCACCTCAAACATCAGCCCATGGTGGCCCCTGTGACCGGGGCAGCCCGCGCCGTTGTGGACCAGGAGCCGCAGGTACCCTTGTCTTTTTTGAGGACTCGGCGTTGCTGAAGATTCGATCGGCCACCGCTGAGCACCGTTGATGGTCTGCTCACAATCACCGATATCTGCACGCCATATGACGGAATCTCGGTTGTGATATCTGACACCTTGAGACCATCTAGACCTCGCCCGTTGGCCACCGTGAGCAACCCCACGCGTTCGTCAGCCCGTGAAATTGTTTATCAGTCTCGCCTGTCAGTATCCCGATACCATTTCCGCCTCTTATTGTGCCGTCAAAAAGCATGGCAAGCGGTACAAAACATGGTAAAGTGCCAAGTCGTGCGCTGTACCAGTCAGCAGCAACTCGTTTCCTGCAGTGATCCAGAATTGGGCTTCTTACTTGGAAATGTTCACCCCCTGACCCTGGCCTAGAGCGACGTACCTTGAAACATTGACTACTTGTCAGATCTTCTCGGACGCAGACTCTCCCGAATTCCGCCTCTAGACGCGGACTATCCGGAAACCACGATGCTTCTTCATTTCCACCAACTGACGAAAATCAGGGCTGCTGGCCAGCCGATCTCTTCCGTGCAGTGAGCGTCTTACGTATATGTGGCGACGATGTCGTGTTGCTGTATAGCCCCGGCTGTTCCCGGTTCGCCCACGCGGGCGTCGGGATTTGGCCCGTGACTGAACATTCTTATTCCTTGCTAGCAACGGCTGGCCAGTATTGACGACAATCGAGATCGATATTGAGAGCTGCTTCTTTCTTCTTGCTCATAACACTTGAGATTGATTCCTTCTACCGGCAACGCTACCAAGCTGTATTCTTCATATTTCTGTTCAACCTATTCCCATTTCTTTTCACGTTGTCGGCATTGCGATTCTCTGTGATTACCAGCCATGTGGCAGCAATCGAAAACCCTATGACAAGCGGGTCATGAGCTGATAACCTCGTCACGAGACACTACATTTCCCCAAGACCTCTTCTGCACAGACATGCATCATAAGTAGGCATGCTTGGTTATCCTAAATGCAGGCCCTGAACCGAGCGACCGGAGGTATGCCGACATATCTTCCCTTCACAACCGAGCATCTGGCCTACCATGTAACCCTTCTCACCCGCAAGTCCATGGCGCCAACTCCCGGATGACGATCATGCAACCATGCGGCACCGAAAAACCCCACCCTCCGGCACCTCGTGGGGTGATCGTCATCCCACAACCGAGACGACGCGCCAGGGCAACTGCCGGTCCGCATTGCAGCATGGGACCACCGCACATGGAAAGCTCGTGTCATGAGGGTTATCACAATAGGTGTGACTGCAAATGTTCCGATTGGTTTCTGCAATCTGCAGCGGCTGCACACTTGCTGCTTCTTCCCTCACACCCGTAACGTTATCCCGTTGCCCCTCTCAAGACTCCCAAACGCCCTTACTACAGGAAGGTTAGTCTCAGCAATACACAGATCTTGCGAGAGGGCGGAGGGGGTTCATGTACTCACAACATCAATCCATCGCGCCATCCACTTATCGACCGTCGCTCGAGCCTCGTCCACGAGCCCCAGCTCAAGCAGCAGCTGCACACCGCCCCGGATCCCCGACTCGAGAGCCGAAGACACCCAAGCGTGCGTGATGGACGTGTGCTCGCCGACGAATATCAAGTTGTTGTGCGTCTTGTGGTACTCGGGTATCCACAGCTGGTGCTGGCCGACCGTCGGGCTCCCCCAGGCGCCCACGGCCAGGGGGTCGAGCTGCCAGCACCGGCGGTTGTAGTTGCCCGTATACAGCGCGCGGACCGCCTCGCCATGTATCTCGACCGTGGCGTCGAGGACGTACTGCACGTGCTCGGCCTCGCTACGTCCGAGCCACGAGGCGCCGACGTCGCCGGACACGTAGCTCGCGAGGATTGATGCCGGGCCCGTGCCGTTGACGTTGTAGCTGGGGTAGCAGACGTTCCCGACGGTGGGTATATCCGTCGACGTGCTGCAGCTGCCGATGATGGGGTTGGCGTAGTGCTCCCAGAAACGCTCGCTAAACTCGAGCGCCACTTTGCATGCGCCATAGTACTTCATGCTGTTGATTGCCGAGGACAGCACGGGGTTGAGGGGCGGCAGTCGCCAGCTGCGGACGACGGTGAAGGGGGCCGAAATGATGGCATAGTCGTAGCTGGCGCTCTGGAGGGTTTGCGAAGCTTGGTCGTCGCGCCACTGAGCGTGACGCGGTCCGAGGTCGGTTCGTAGCTGACACGCTCAATGCGGCGGTCCATGACCGTGACGTCGTCTACCAATGGGCGGAATGCCGCAGGAGCCGGCTCAGACCACGTCGACAGTCTTCCATGTGCCGTAGACGAAGTAGAATCCGTTGTATATGGATGCCCAGAAGGACTCGTAAGATGTGCGGCCGATGGCGCTGGCGTCAGCAAGGGAGCCGCCGAGGTGGTTGACCATGAAGGCGAACTCGGACCAGACATCGCCGCCCAAGCCTTTGAGCCCATTCTTAATCCACTCGGAGTGCGCTTTGAAAATGTTCTTCGCAATGAGGTCGTTGAACTCAGGTCCTGGCAGGTATTCTGCGAGGCCAGCCTGAAGTCCTTTGGCCGAATCCGAAAGTTCAACCGGTACAGGGCCGAGCGAGGAGTTGAGACCAATCTCATTGATAGTCGGAGGCAGCCCACTGGGCATTCTGACGCTGTTCCTGTAGTTCAAGCCGTTTCGATCGCTTTGGATCCATTTGATAAAGTTGACCGACAAGCTAGCATCATTGCCGTTGAGTTTGTTCAACTCTTCAGCGAGCTGGTAGACGATCTGCTGGTCGCTAATGTTGAAAGTCTTGTTCGATGAAGGATCCGTGTATGTATCCGGAATGCGCATCGGGCCCATCTCCTGATAGGAATAGTCAAACGGACCACCCGACAGATACTCTGTGCGGACGCGACCCCCAAGTCGCTTGCCACCCTCGATGATGGTGAGGTTGGTCAGTCCAGCTTGGGAGAGAACCAGCCAGGTCATGAGGCCAGACATGCCAGCGCCGACAATGGCAATCTCCTTGGCTTTGGCCTTTTCGACATCAACAGGTCCAGGCTGCTGCTGCTCCAGAAGCTTGACGCCTTCGAACCATGCGCCGACATGGTCGAATCCGGTTCCGTTCATTTTGATGCTGTCTGCAAAATCCATAAGCATACGGCTGTCGAAAGAGTGTCTCGTGGTTGGACTCACCTGGGCCTCGCTTCTGAATCCTTCGTTTCCAGTGATGGTGCAGTACCTGTGGCTCGCTGCGGCCGACGAGCCTCCCCTTTCGGTCCCAAGCTGACAGACAACCATTTGATTCGGCATTCTCCGGAATTATCCACACGAGGCGCTGGCCGTGTTGGGCTTCAACCTTGGCAACGGTGTGGTGGCTATCTCGCAGTGTGCTGGATGAGCAGCTGCCATAGGCAAAGTCAATAGGACCGTCGACTGCCCGTTCAAGCCGCAGATGAACATTGGCAGCACGAGATTTGATCTCGGCCCGCGTTTCGAGCTTCAGCGGAAGGTTGGAAGGTAACGATGTCGCTACGGCGACACCCAGAACAAGAGGAGAGAGCCAAATCTTCATGTTGAAGGATATTGGGTTCGACGGACATTTGTTAGACCTCGGCTGCGGGGATCAACCGTCGGCGATAGAAGAACATATGATGTCTTCTTATAGAGGAAGACACAAATATTCTGCCCACGATCAGTCACCCATGTTGGAACTCCATGCCGGCGAGGAGGTATGCCATCAGCTTGCTTATAGAAAACGTGGATTCGCGAGAAAGACATCGTTCCGCCCGCCGCGGCGCGAGGACTCGTAAGTCGACTTTGCTCATTCGTTGCACTCTTGCTGCTTCCTCCCCACGTTTGATCGCCAGAATGTGGCGGGAAGCCCAGAACGTGGGGCCGCCCCGTCGACCGTTGAAATGCATGCCCGAAGCGGAAGGTCGAGTGACGGCCCGGTTCGGCGGATGGATCCGCGGTCACCGATTATGGCGAGATTCAAAAGACCGCAGGACTAGCTGTCGACTATTGCAAGCCACGCCGAACGTGCCCTGCTGGACTCCTCCTAAACGGCCTTGTTGTACGTAAGTTTAATATTCAGGAGCGATCCTTTGGATCCTGAACACGAGTTTGATCTCAGTCAGTGGGGTAAGATGGGTTCATGGAGGACAGGAAGACTAAGCCATGCAGCCAGATAAGCATAACTTGGCATCAGCCGGATAATGCGGAGGCGATCAACGGGCCGCCATGCGCTGGTGTCGAATGTAGCAGGTAGCGAACGTGGGGAGTTGAAGCCAACCCCGAGATCAAGCTAGGCGGCCTTTTAAGGCCAAGAACAAGAGAACTGATCAGACACGTCGAGCTTCTTCCCCAAATCTGACTTCATGCGGCGAATGTTTTTCCTTTCCATAGCGCGTAGAAGCTTCCTGATATATGTCCATCTTTCAGTGCGGGAACTTAGGCCCTGTATGGTATTGGCTACCAATAGAATGAGTGAATGGTCTATTGCGCTGAAAAAGTTGTGCGGACGACGGAGTCCGGATGCCTTGCTCGGCCCCAGTTGGGAGAATGGCTACTACGAAGGATTCGCACAGACGAGGGCCTGTGAAAGGCCTCAGTGGGTCCGGCGCGGGCAGGCGCCAGCCAAGGCTGTCTAGGAGTTCTCAACTGGTAAGGAATACCGGCAAAATCAAGCTGGCCACGCCTCATGTTGAGCGTCTCGTGGTCCTCAATGGTCTTGGGCAATGCGATGCTACACCACTACCTCAGGTACTGTGTCTTAGGCAGATTGGTGGACGACCAAGCACCCGGTGGGCTGGCGAGTTTTCGCATTAAAGGACTGGAATAATGTGTCTTAAAGCCGTGGTGCATGCTTCCGTCTGCTGAGGTACTCGTCTATCAGGAGGGCTGGGGATCTTCCTGTCAACCCCGCATATGCGCCAAGGCCTCACGCCATAGTCCACCAGCCACTCAGCAGCGTGAATCAATGAGAATTACGGTGTTGTGCTTTTAGGATACTGATGCACGCGAGACATGCTTGTGTTTGTTGATGAAGTGCCAGCTCGTGGTTTGGAGAAGCATCACAGCTGTCGACATCTTGCGCGGCGTTCCCAGTCCAGTCCAGGACCATGTCATAGCAACGCCTTCATCCCGTACCGATATGACGAGCTTCATGTACCTGTCCCTCATATGGTCAAGGCCTTGTCAAGAGCACTCAAGTGTGGCGAGTCGGGTTAAAGACATTGTCGACACACGGGTTCAGCGTACTTGCGACGGAGTGAGGAGGATACGTGATTGAGATGCGCATCGCAGACATGATAGGTGGGCACTGATTAGCTCGTTCGCTCGTCCCGAATTCTGCGGTTGTCTGTGTGGCTGGTATCTGGAGATTCTTCCTTCCGTCCCTTTTCTCCTCATTTCACAGATGTCTTTTGCCGATATAAACGCCAGTTCAAAACCCCGAGTCGTCAAATGCCGTATCTAGTGTTGCTGTTGCCTGCGGTCGTCCCCACCAATGCGTTCGAGGGCCTCGAGCATGACGACAGAATTTCCACGGATGACCTGAGATTTTTAGCATTCGAAGACCATGGGGTAACAAAGCTGAGAACCTACCACCATGCCGATCCGCACCTTCTCGCCGCCTTCCTTCTCCTCGACCGCCTCATCCAGCACGATGTTCAGGAAGACCTAGAGGTAATCAGCTTAATGTGCGGGGTTCAGAGTGGTTGGAGGTGCATACATCGTATCCGCGAAGAACGCCGATAACCTTGCGACCGCCGTTGAGCTGCACAAACAGCCTCTTGTCGAGGTACTACATCTAGATTAGCATCGACCCCTCACACGTTGAATTGCATGCCTCTGAGGACACAGCCGCGCAGCCGCCCGTGCATCTTGAAGGCTATACCAGGATGCGTGTGGTCAACGCTCTTACGTACCTTCTTGAGTTCTGGTTGAGCGGGCGCCATGTTGTCGTTCGATGTTGGCAAGGCTGACCGAACTTGCTGTTGAGAGCTGGGCCTTGCGACGCGACAAGGAGCTCAGGCTCAGGCTCAGCCTAGAGCCATGGTGGGGCGGCGATCGAGAATTCAAGATCACGTGGTCTTATCGGAACAACCGAAGGTATGATAAGCATCGATTTCCCTAGAACTGCCCGAAGCTCTGGCAAACGCTCCATCTCAGAACACATTCGACCATCACCAGTGGACGTACATCAGTTGTCTCGCCATGAGTTCTTTCGCGAAAAGGAAAGCGCGCGTCATCAAGGTTGACGATGATGACGACGTTACCCTCGGCGGCAGCAGCTCAACCACGACTGATCAGCAGCTCGTAAGCGAAGGTATGTCTTGCGATCCTCTGCTTCACGACCCTCCGCTAATCGGCAACGAAACGCAAAAAGACTGACGAGCTTCGCATAGAGGCCCCCGCGCCCAAATTCACGCGAAAACCATTAAGACAGTCCGGCTTGCGCAAGAGCATCAACGTGAATCAAATTGACGATCCCGACGGCGCATCCACGACGCTGGGGAAGGCAGCCACCGCACACAATGACGATGAAGACGACGGACCGGTCGTGATTCGCCCCGCCATCGGCCGCGCCGGCTCGACCAAACAGAAGAAGCGCGCGTCAACCTCTCGATTGTCCTTCGGTCCCGGTCAAGATACTGGCGGCGCCGCTTTCAGCACGCCGAAGAAGTCGTCTCTCGGCCAGCAGGCGGCCGAGAACAGCGCCATCAAGAAGCCAGGCTTCACACACCGTCTTCCCATGCGCCGCTTCAACGACGATGAAGAAGACCGGCCACGCTACAGCAAGGAGTTTCTCGACGAGCTGCAGAGCTCGACACCCAACACACCACAGCCCATTTCCTCATTGCGCGGCACGAGTGACGACGAGATGGAATTGGACCCCTCGGAACTGGAAGGCGCGCTTATCGTCAACGAGGGCACGTACACCGAAGCCGCAGTGCCCCAGCAGACAAGCATACTCAGCAACACGGAGATTCAGGAGCGGAAGCAGCGGCGCGCGCGACTGGCGAGAGAAGAAGACTTCATCTCGCTGGACGATGAGGGCGACGACCGGACGGATGGCAAACCATCAGAAAACACGCGTCTTGTGCCCGAAGACGAAGACCTTGGCGAAGGCTTTGACGACTTTGTCGAAGATGGCGGTTTGTCGCTGGGCAAGAAGGCAGAGCGCGAGGAGAAGGCGCGTCGACGCCGCGAGATGGCCGAGCAGATCCAGATGGCGGAAGGCAACTCGGAGGAGTCATCGGACGAGAGCGACGCCGAGCGTCGGGCGGCGTTCGAGGCGGCGCAGACGCGCAGTGGCATGGACGGCTTGAGCAAGCCGGAGAAGAGGGACCCAGCAGAAGCGCTGCTGCAGGTTCCCGCCAAAATCACTCCGTTGCCGGAGCTCGATGGCTGTCTGGAGAAGCTCAGTCTGTCGTTACGGGGGATGGAGGGTGCGTTGCGAGAAAAGCAGAGTGCACTGGACAGGCTCAAGGCGGAGAGGGAGGCGATTCTAGCTAGAGAAGGAGAAGTCCAAGCTCTGCTAGATGAGGCGGGTAAAAGGTACACCTCCATCTTGGGCGGCTCGGGTCCGACGCTTGAAGCAGGACAATCGCCCGCTAGGCAGATTCAGAACGCCGGCATGAGCGAGCTTGCGGTCGAGAGGGGCCTCGAGAGCTTTGGCACAACGCCAGTTCGACGGCCTGATGGAGGTGACGAGTGATGAGATAGCTCGAACCATTCAAACAGAACCTGTGATACCCCTTCCCTACAATTTTTCTTCGCCGAGCGCCATTCCAATTATGTCACAGGAATCCGATCAGTTTCTTCGAATGCTAATTGCATGTCTAATGTATAAAGAAAAGCTCCATTTCAGGAGACATCCTGCCAGAACCAACGCCGCATGAGGATACATCCTATGGTACAGACTACCTTGCTCGCTTATCACTCCCTATTACGAGCACACATTTCTCCCCTCCTCACTGCCTCTCTCTCGATTTCTCCGAGCCGCCTACTTGCCTGCAAAGTGCTCACTTCGACTTGGAAACGCCAGCGCCAATGACACCAGGCAACTTCTCCTCGCCGATGCTGTAAAGCAGGCCGATGGAGAAGGTCAAAATGCCAACCATGAGGATTGTGAAGCCAGTGAACAGCCAGAAAGGCGCGCTGACATCGACCTTGCTGCACGTGGCACCCGCCCAGTGTGTAACGGACCCATTCTTGGGGCGGCTCGACTCACACTGGCAGTAGAAGCATGTGCCGGCATCGGAGCCGTCCTCTCTGGCGTACTTGTTCACACACTTGCCGTGGCCAGAGCAGTTGCCTGTCGAGTTTTGGCAGCTGTCGGCGGAGGCGAAGCAGGAGGGGAGATCCCGGCCGCGGACGAAGGATGCGAGAGGCATGTCGGCGGCTTCGACCTCAGTGGCAGCAGTGGTGGGGGCGGGCTCATCGGCCTCCGTCATGACTTCCTCGGCGACCTGACGACGGCGGAGGGACTGTGGCTTGGTGGACCAGGCGTTGAGAGAGGAGATACGGGAGGTCTCAGGAAGGAGGACAAGGGTAGTCTCCATCTCGCCGCTCTGCGCGAAGCTTCTGGAGGCGCGAGATGTTGTCGGCAAGAGAAGCGAGGATGGTCGTGTCCTAAAGATCTGTTAGTCCATGGTGCGGCATATTGGGCTGAGAGTGAGCGCACCTTTCGGACGTCGAATACGGCGACGGAAGATTTTCCGCTCCAGCACTCCTCCTCGAAAGGGTTGATGGCGCGCACGAAATCGCAGTTGGTCGCGCCGACGCCAGCGGAGGCCATGTCACTCTTCGCCAGTTTATGGTTGGCAACGGATGACGGCGCATCGTTGACCTCGAATGCCAGGCTGGAGCCCTTCAGGGTCTTCTTTAATGTCTTGGCATCTTCGGTTGAGATACCCTCGAGCATAACAAGCAGCTGCGAGGGCTCGGAAGTGGCTTTGTTGTCGAAAAGCGGCTGAGGCGACTTGCCAAATTGGTTGATATACGAGACGGCGGTCTCGGTCGTCACGTCTTCGGGAATATCATTGAGCGATTCGGTCCAGGCTTCGGGTGCTAGGCGTTGGAGAAGGATGAGACGTGCGACTTGCCGTGGCAAAGAGGGGGTCTCGGAGGTTGAAGCCTGCTTGGATTGCAGGATATATACGTCAGCAGGCTGCAGAGCGCTGGTGAAGCCTGCCAGGGCTGCCGCGACGCCCAGGGAGAACTTCATCTTGAACGGTTCGGATTGAAGCTCGACGATAGTGATGGGTGGGCGAGTAGCTTCGCGGCCTTGATACTGGTACTGTCCGCGTGCTGGCTGATGGACGTGTCGACTGGAGTTGGCTGGAGCTTGCTGAAGCTTGGGTTGGTGGATGCCTGTGTTCCATGATTGCTGGGACGGTCACGTGTTGATTCGTGCACGGTCCATACGGATTCGACCCACGCCCACCTGGGATCATGTTCCCTCTGAGACTCCGCTCTGTGTCTGCCTTCATCCTATGCAGGCAGCAGAGGGTGTGGCTACCAATGAGGCCTGGATCCATGCGTCCTCCGACATGGTGGAGAGCAGTGAAGTTCAATATATAAACATGTTTGTTCACCTCACTGTTTTGGTCGCTGGTCAGATATTCGGCCTGATGAAAACATCCTGAGCAACTCAAACCCACCAGCATGCGTCTACCGTCGGAGATTCGTGACGAAGTGGTCTCGTACTTTCTTGTTCCTATCTTGAATGATCGTTATCCCGAAAAGGAGCATGGAACTGTGGACTGGAATTCCTTTGCTAGCCTAGGTCCCGCCCGGGCAGTACGGGTTTGGCAACCGTCTACCCGAAGTGATGTGTGGGAATCAACGAGGTTCTACCAGCTCGAGCTTGATGAGGGAAGCCTTCTCGGACTCCGCCTTGTTTCTCACGACTGGCACACAAGTGCAACCCTCATGCTTGCGAAGCATCATCTGTGGCGTCTACGATTCGACTCGACGACGTCAATTGGAAGGGCCGTCAATGCTCTTCCATCTCTAGGTCAGATTCCTTTGCAACAACCTGTGTCGAAGCTGTCCATCGACGATACTGGAAGTGTTCAGTCTTTCAGACGGCTTTATGAAGATATCCACTACGACAACGACCCCAAGTACGAGGACAAACCGGTATGGTACCCTTCGCTGGGAGACGGGGGGGAGCGGCATCCGGCGCCGGACCCTCTACAAATCCACTACAACAAGACGAAGACTCACGACAGAATCCTACAAGTTTTCGATGCTCTGAATAAGATTCAGACCTCAGCTGATTTTGCACTAGCTGAAGCTGATACTACGGAGACTGGAGGAGCAGCGCGACAATTGGGCAGATTGTTATGATCTGACAGCATTGAACGAGATAGCGGTGACATTTCGCTACGCTTTCACGAAGTCACCAGCATTTCAATACGTAACAGATCTTCGTCTTCAGGTGCCTTCCACACACTACATTGGAGAGCTTGCAAACGCTCTCGACATCGAAGCACGAACACGCTTGAAATCCCTCCAAGTTGTCATCATGGACCAGACGGGTTCGTGCGGCAACCGAGACTTCAGCAGCCGCGCCGACCCTCACCATCGCGACGACATGGCTGACGGCGTTATCGATGACGACCCTGATATAGAGGACGAGGCAAACTTTCCGTACAGCAACGTGCAGCGTATTTATCCCAACAGAAAACACCAGAAAGCGCTGTGGGCCTTCGTGCGCTCTTGCCGCAATCTTGAGGCTCTCTACATTCAAGGGTCACATTTTCTCGACCTGGATCTGCTGGGTTGGAGCACGGCCGCGAATCCGAAATGGCAGGGCCTGCAGGTGCTGGCTTTGAGTCGTGTTTACGTATCACCTGATAGCCTTCTCGACCTGATACGGCCGCATCCTGAGGTGCAGGGAACCTCTCGTTTGTGTAGGATTTCTCTGGACGATTTGAAGATGCGTGATGGCAAATGGGCCCCCGTCTTCAACTATCTGAACGATAAATGCTCTGACCTGGAGTGCGGTAGGTTCTACAATCTCACGTACTTTACTGAGCATGAGAGCTACGAGCACAACAACAGGATCCACGAGAATGTTAGTTCTCTTTGGTCATCCTCAACGCACGACGAACGGACTTTGCGCCATCTTGCAACCAAGCTCGTCGAAAGAGTCGGCGGGAACAATTATTACCCAGAAAGTTGCCTCGATTGTATAGAAATCTAGTTAGACTGATTCCATTTAAGGTACCGCCTTTGATTCGTGAAATAAACGAGTAGTTGACTGGGTTTGGTTTCACATGATATGACATTGGAACAGGTGCCATGACACACACAATCGATGTATACAGTGTGAAACATGTGATGAACACAGTCTGCACCATCGAGCGCCGCAAGAAACGTCGCCGCTATCGGGCGGCACTGTGACTGATAAGACCTTTGACGTGGTGGCATTTGGAGCACGACCGCAATGACCAACAGGTGCCTCCAAGTCAAAACGGTCATTACGCCAGACGCCAGTGTTGGCGATACCTCAGCCGCCAGCACGACTCGATATCTATTCAACCCCGGCTCTCTATGCATCGGTTCTTACACTCAGTCTGTGCTTGTATCTTTCTTGCATGCCCCGGCCACTTTTTGCGCCAGACTACTTCCGACAGCCGTCCTATTTGACATCGTGCCCGACCGACACTGCCCCTCGCGCTTCAACGCCCGCCACTTCAGCAACGCCCACACGCTCGACAGCATAACCACGCCGCTTGGTTATTCGGCCACAATAAAATGCTGAGGCTGTTCAGGCCAGTGGCTGGCTTTCGGGCAGCACGCCTGGCGGCGCAAAAGACCCGGAGCGCCTCCCCTCGACAGTCGATCACTGTCCAGAGGGTGCGCTTCGCTTTCTCGCCTAGGAAATTCGTGAGGTGTGTTGTCCTGTCTCCTTGCCGCCGTTCGGCCTGGCTTACCATGGGATAGGAATGCATTTGTCGGCGGTTGCGTCACCTACCTTTGCTATCAATATTATGACGCTAAAGTGATATCCCCAATACTGCAATTTCTGGATCGAGAGTACGACTCATTGTCGACGAAGGAGAAGACAGAGCTGGACAAAGAGCTGGAAAACTTCGACGATTCAATATTTTTCCCCATCCCCTTCACGACTGCGCAGGTCCAGTCCCCTCCGTACCGAGGCAGCGACCCGGAGTGGGCACAGTTTAGCAGGATCAGCAAAGACAAGCCGCTACAAGAAAGGATACGAAGTGTGTGCCCATCCGCTCTTTGATCATTTGTACGGAGCGGCTTGCTAATCATTCGTTTCGCAGATGAGCTGGCCCACGAAGTGAAAGATATGGTTGAAAAGCACCCGATGATCGGTCCTCGTTACGGCAATAGCATGCGGATTCGTAGATATTGGCTCGATATCGACTTTCCACCCCGACCACCTCCGACATTCGAACAATCTGGGTATGCATCCTCTTGCGCTTCATTAGTACCCCTGTCTTGCTGACTTTGAGCGCAGAATTCTCTGGGACGATAATGGTCTGCATTGGGCCGCCGAACCGATCGACTCCTTGACAGCGACTCAATTGCACAACATTTTATGGCCCACGGCCGCTGCACAGTCAAGCTGGGCATACGCATCAACAATGGCCAAGCAGCACTGGTTCCAGTTTCAGAGGCTACTCGGGTTCGACGTGCCACCTCCTTCGGGCCCGCTCTCCCAACCACGAACTGCGGCACTCGATCACCCAAAGTTCCCTTCCGCAGGACGCCAGACTCCTGACGGCAGGTCCGCTGACGCTCCCTCCGGTTCTGGCAAGGGGTCTGCAGATATGCAACCGCCAAATACCGCTCCGAGTGGCGGCAAGACTAGGTTTTCCAAAGATGTTGATCCGTCGCTCGCTAGTAACGTTCCGCAAATGTCCACAAGACCGTTCATGGAGTTTCTCGCCAAACTCCGCAAGACGTGGGAACCAGCGAGGCCTCACCCGCCACGTGGCTCGATTATTGTGTCAGGCTTTGTGGAGCTCGAATCTCAGAACAGCTTCATCGTCATCGACGTCATCGGCTTCTGGGATCCGAAGAAGCGGGCTCTCGATAGCAAATCCTCGGTCATGAAAGCTCGCAGGATTCAGATGAAGTTTCAGTCTCCGGCATGAGCGGTCTGCACGCTGCATTTTTATCGTCTCTTAAGCGGCAAAGTTTCGGCCTTGATAAAGCGCTTGAATACATGATCATGGGCACGCGCCGATTGCATACGGCTTCGGAGTTGGATGGCAGCGATGGCCCTGCCTGTTGGGGGGTCTTGTTTTATTTTGTAATGTGTTTGTATCATCTGGCATGGGCTCGCAGCGAGAGTTAGAATGGATTATGGAGGAATTCATTCTCATCAGCGTTTTGGCGCAAGACTCACATAGTATGTGACGTCTCTTTCTCTATGGTCGCACATCCCCGTCGTGCGGTCTGCACTCCGTGTCAACTAGGTCTTGGAGCTTCGAGGACTTTGTTGGGCACGAGCCAGGCGCACGGTCGCTGTTGTGTCCTCACTCCATCCGTACCCTACCAATTTCATTCACCAGAACTCAGGGAGGCCAAATGAGGCCAAACAGACTCTCGTCAACCTCATTCACCTGCTGGGGGCAGGTACGTTACCTAGGCCTCCCAGAATAGAAGTATATAGAGGCGCGGGTTGCCCATCGATTCAACATAGATTTTACTCCTCATGCACTCATTACGAGTTGCTCAACACTCAACACCACTCATACACTTGGTGATTGCTAATCTCACCATTTCTTCCACTATTCCTTGCCGCTCTTCGAAGAATTTGGGCATGCGTCTCGCGATACACCGCATTTGACTCCTTCATTCTCCAGAACTTGGTCGTCCCCGCCACTCCACGACACGACTGCCACGACACGACTGCCATCCAACACCCACAAGACTAAAGACCCGCGTCTTGGGCAACAACCCCAACGCAAGCTTCTATTGAAGCGTTCCTATACTGCTCCTCCTAGTCTGTACATCATCATATCGCACATGATGGCAGATTCGAGCTTAACAGAAAAGCTCGCCCTACACAAGAGGCGTCTCCTTTGTGATCTCGCCGAACTGCAAGAGCAGCCTTATCCCCACATCCAGTTGCATGTTGACGAAAGCGATATCCTCAAAGTGTGCCTAGTCCTCACGCCGCCTGGTTGGATTCCCATTCATCTCACAGTCATGTTCCCGCCAGAGTATCCTCTCCGCGCCCCGTATATACATACGGACACCCATATCAGCCATCCAAACGTCTTCGGCAATTATCTGTGTGCCAGCATCCTCAACACAGCTGCAGGCTGGACTCCAGCGTACACACTCAAGGGCGTGGCCATCCAGATGCTGAGCTTCTTCACGAGCGAGACCTTGGAGCAGGACTACGGTGGCCGCACGGTGAGCTTGCTCTCTCTGCGGAACGACAACAGGCAACTGCCGCAGTCGTTCGACTGTGAGCGGTGCGAATTCAAGAGCGGCACCTGGGCAGACGCCAAGAGGGCGCACAGGAAACGACTGCAAGAGGCCGCTGCCCTCGAAGAGGCCACTGCTGCAGCAGCACCTGCCAAGCCCGACCACCACAGCCACCAGGCCTTGACGCAAATGCCCGCTGAGATTCTCTTGACGATCATCGACACTCTCGAATTCAGGGATCTAACTGCCTTTGCGCAGGCTTGGACTCGTGTCAGCGACCTCATCGCACAGGCGGATGTTGTTCGGCTGCGGGAGTTGCAGTGCTTCTGCACCAAGGCCAACTTCAATAGTGCCAAACTAGGCGTCGGTGTCTCACTCGATGGAAAGGGCGCCAATAAGTCGATCGAGTCTGAGTTCGACCTTCTCTCGGAAGAGGGCTTTGGGAAGCTCGGCATCAGGAAGTCCGTCCACGGAATCAACTTCAGCCACTGGTTGCCTCTCCCCATCTCGCACCGGCACTGGGCTCAGGTTCGGGGCGACGCCAAGGTGACACTCACCCAGATCGGAGAATATGCGGGCCTGGGCCGTCGCCTGACCATCGACGTCCTGGCCGCCTTCATGAACGACGTTGTGGTGCGCCTCAACAAGCAGGCCGAAGAGCCCGCCAAGCCGCGGGCCGTTGCCTTGCCCAGGTGGGCCATGCCGGATCTGTGGTGGGCGAAGCCCTCGGCGCCGGAAAGCACGCTGCGCCATGCGTCCGAAAAGGCCATCGAGTCGTATTTCCACCTCTTCCACATGCTCGTCTGCTTCGCCACCGAGGACAGGGAGCTCGTCGAGACGGCGAACCGGCGCATCCGCGTCTTCGCCTCAGGCCAGCGCCACAAGTCCGTCTGCCCGAACCTCGGCCACCTGCTCGTCTACCTCCTCATCAGTGACGTCGAGATCACAGAACTGCTGCGCAAGGACATCATCACCGAGGCCATCACGCGCAACGTCGTCTGGCTCTTCGACAAGCGCGGCGCCGACATGCCGGAGCTGTCGTACCTCGAGCCGGACGCCGAGTCGCCCTACCGCCTGAAGAGGACGTTTGAGGGCGGCCGCACGTCGTACCGGCTGCTCATGTTCTCCGAGTTGTTCCGCCGCACCGCGCGGCCGGGCCACGGAAAGCCACTGCAGCAGGTCAGGGAGGAGCTGTTTGACCGCCACGGCGCGCCGCCTCGGGGGGCGGCTGCTGCGCTGGCGGCCGAGGTGCGGCGCCTGCACGAGGTGGACAACTTCTACGACTTCTTCAGGGAGATGGGCCTCCAGAAGATCCCTGGCGTCAGGTGCTTCACGGCGGTGCTGCGGGCTACGGTCAAGGATAGCGTGTCCTACGGGTATTCGAGCTGGGGGCTGAGCCAGGACGTGGCGTATGTGCTGCGGAGGCAGAAGGAGCGCGGTGTAGGCGTCGTTCCGGGGCTCCAGATGTTGCGGGGCAGCGGCGAGTTCAGTGTGCCGCGGCACTTGACGTTTTTCCCGTCGAAGAGGGGGAGAGCGCGGCTGAGCGGACGCAGGAGGTGAAGGAGCATGAGTTATTGACAGATCCCGATGGCTTTGCTCAAAGTGTGGTGTTTGACGATTAGAATGACTACAGCTCCTCTGATAGATGCCATGGCCTGATGAGCATCAAGTTGCTTGGCGGCACTTTTGCATGTGTGCGCTCATTTTGAATGGCGAAGAACGGCACAGGCAAACCGTAGTTACCAACCTCCATAGCAGAAAGAATTAGACCTGAAAGTACGGGCTGCTGAATATTTGCAAATAAATGAGGCGGAAGAAATCCTCTAATTACCATGCTCATGAACGTGAGGAAGCTGCTGAAACCTCTGAATGCAATCACATACAGCCGTCAGCGATATGAGCGAATACCAGCAGAAATCGCCCAGTAGAACAAACAATCACGTAGTACAGCCTTGATATCGAGCCGAACACAGACTCGTATGTGAGAGGAGCTACATTGCAGGACCAGAAACAATCGTGACCGGGCCAGCGACGGCTGCCGTAGGAGGAGACATACATGCTGACATAATCATTCTACGCAGAAGGTCGCTTCCCCGCTCTCGCCAACCTCACCCCTTCTTTTCATCACCAACATCGTGTCTCCAACGTCCAGCAACAGCTTCAACAATATACAAACCGACTATCTCTACGAAGAGAGGCCCGGAGCTGGCTCTTGAAATCGACTCGAAGTACCATGTCAACTCATACGATGATTGAAGGCTCTTGACGCCGAGATGCCTCGGGGCATTGTCTCCCCTCGTACTCACCTCGTCGGGCGGTGCTGCTGCCTGACGCAACCCCTCTTGAGAAACTTCACGTCGACGCAAAATGCGCTTACCAGGACGGTCATCGACTTCTATCAGCGATCTGAAAAGACTTCATGGATCATTCATCAAATACTGCGAAACGCCCCAACGCCCCAACGCCCCAACGCCCCCATTCATCATAAGTCTCGTTCCATCACAGGCTCGCTTGTCAATCTGTCCCTCGTCACGCCTGCAACGCTATTCAAACTCAAGACTCCCTCTGATCGACGATACCGCCAAGCTCGACGAACAATAGTTCAGCTCGGCTCACTCCCAAGAAGCATGATCCAGCTTGACTCGGGCAATGTGAGCCAACGCGGCTTCCACTGCGCAAGGGGTCAGCCGCCGCTTCGGGCTCGGTTCCACGACAGCTCTGCTGCGGGGTGGATGAAGGTTCTTACCCTGTGCATCGACCCTCGCGCGGCTCGAGAGATACCACACGTCGTTGATCCTGTCCTCGCACACGTCGTTGCCGTGGCAGTGGCAGAACTCAAAGTCTGTGGCCAACGGGCTGAGCTCTGGAGTGGCAAGCCTGGGAATCCACGGCGTGCGGGGCGGGGAAGGCGCTTCAGGGGGACAGACACTCCATGCCGGGGCTGGCGTACCCTCGCCGCTGGCGGGCTCATCGTGCGACCAGGATCCGATGGACGCTAGGTCATCCTCGATGAGAGACGTCTGGTCAGCAGCGCCGCTGTAGGCCGCACGACGACGCTTTGGTTGGCGCTGGTAAGGCTGTTGCGTGTTCTGCGTATGCAGCCGGGCGCCAAGTGGTGTGAGATCACGTGATCCTCTGCCATCATCACGACGACGGCGGCGACCCGAGTCTGGACCGCATGACAAGGATGAAGGAAAAGTTTCGGGTTTTCTCACCTTTTGGGGCTTACCAGGATCCTGACGCATCGATGAATCCGGGCGCACAATGCTAGATGCCGCTGTTCTGGGTTTCCTCATCAGCGTGGACATGTTGGCGTTCACGACGGACGACGACCCCATTGCGCTGGCATCGAGTCGATCCAAGGAGTGTTGCGAAGTCATCATGAGATGATCCCGTGGTCTTGCGACCGAAGAATCATGGCTGCCTCCTCGGCATGTCGCCATGATGGCCAGTTGGACAGATGGAGAGGCTTAGGTGGCACGTCAGGGGCCTGATGGGTAGTGGCAGGCCCTGACTACTACCCCTGATGAATGGACAATGGGGTGGATGATTTGGGATAACTTTGCTCGGGTTTTCCGATGAAATGGAGAGAGGAGTGTTGAATGGGAGAAGAGATGTGAGAAGGAGGGTAGGGGGGTTCCCTCAGCTTTATGTGGTGAGTGACCGGGGGGAGGAGGATGCCATATACCATCAACTGACCAATGAAAGTACACGCTTCCGCCCACCCCCGCCTCTCATTCTACCTATTCTCTTCCTCCAGCACGGCCGGCACCACACCCCCTCCCATTACTTCGTCCTGCTGTGACGACCTCTCATGATCCAACAGCATCGGAACTGGTCAGGCTACGCCAGGCACGACGCGGCCGACCGCTACTGCAACGACCCACTATGTAAGGCCAAACACTTCATGTCATCGACCTGGTCGCTAGATCCATGTGCTTTTCCGCCACCTCACCACCCTCAGGGACATCGCGTCCGCCAAACTTCTATATGGTTCCGTTCTCTGTCTCTCTGCCGTGCGCTTGGCTAGCCGTCGTGCTGTACTCTTCGGATTTTGTTTATCCGGTTTGAGAGAGCTGTCCCATGAAGGCATGGCCACAGTACTCCCTACGTGTCTATTGTAGTAGTGGCCAGTGGTTTTCCTGAGAGGCCTGGTTGCAGCTAAGATATCCTGAGAATGACCTCCGGTTCTCCTCCGGTAGAAGATCATCACCAGTGCTGGCAACAGGCTACCGGTCCCCGACGAGGGGTTTCGAGTTTTCTGTCTGCAGCTGTTATGCAGGCTTGAAGCACATAGTTTCCGGAATTCATGGCCAATGCGTCTGGGATGCAGCTTTCTGTCCGCATTTTGTCCGCTTCCTGGCGCACATGACAGAATGAGAACACGTCAGGCATCTCCAACGCCCGATTTATGTGCCAGTTGGCTTCGATTACTCGTCGCGAAGTGTCTGCAGGCATACGCGAGCTATTCTGAGGTCGTCCGCGTGGCGTCTTAGAGTCGTCTATACCATGCTCCGCGTGCGGGATGTCCAATTGATTAGGATAACAAGAAGAAAGTAATGCGCATGTTGATTCATTGGTGACAGGTTTTAAATGTGGCGTGGCGCGCCCATCATCAGAACAACCCTTGTCGAGAACGAATCGGAACACTTATAACCACCCAATCAATAGCAGAGATCCTTCGGCTTCCAATCACTTCAAAAGCTGCTCCAAGACAAGAAGTTTGTGGTACCTCGGAGCCGACGCAGAGCGTCCCATCGCAACCAACAAACGATCAGGTCGGGACACCCACCCAGCCCAGCCAGGGAAAGTCGGTGTCATTTGCAGATCGTCTCATCGGTTCTGAGCCCGATTGGATCATGTGTCAGTTCGTCACATACCCTTTCTGGAAGCGCCTTTGCACAGCTGGCGTATTCCTCCACTCTTGAGTTCGTGGTCAAAACCATGTCCGACATGATCTCACAGCTCGGCTCGAGCCTTGACGTCCTGTTCACGTGACCCTTGCGCTTGGCTCAGGTGGGTCCCCTTCCCGTCCACACACAGAACAGCGACCGTGCTCTCTCTCTCTCTCTCTCTCTCTCTCGCTACTCCTACTCTGGACTAGCGGAGCTCTCGTGATGCTGCCAGCAGCTCAATCCTCCTCTCCACCAGCTTTTTGCATCGTGGTAGGACGAAACGGCGCCACGAATTGACACGCCTTACGTTGCGTCAAAAACATACTCGCGGGGCCTCATCTTTCACCGAATTCCGGCTTCTTTCTTCGTCAACTTGGATCGACTGTCGCAGCTATGGGCAAGAAGCGCGCGCACCCCGATGTCGAGGACATCCTGGCGCGTCCGTGGTGTTACTACTGTTCGTCGCAATCACCCATGGACGCATGCCGCATACCGCAGACACTGACCCAGACGCAGGCGAGCGCGACTTTGAAGATCTGAAGCTTCTCATCTCTCATCAGAAGGCGAAGCACTTCAAGTGCGACCGCTGTGGACGTCGATTGAACACGGCTGGAGGTACGCCTACGCGCGCTTGTCGCTCAACCCTTTTTTTTTTGGGTGTATTTGCCGGCCGCTGACGTCTTATGCCCCCCCCTTTTTGCAGGTCTCTCCGTCCACTTGAACCAGGTCCACAAGGAAACCCTCGATCATGTCGAAAACGCGCTGCCCAACAGGCAAGGCCTCGACGTGGAGATCTTCGGCATGGAGGGCATCCCCGCCGACATTCTCGACCAGCACCGCAACCGCATCATCCAGAACTTCTACCAGGCCCAGGAGGACAGGCGCGCAGCGACAGGCAACCCGCTGCCGGGCCAGGCGAAGCCCCCGAAGAAGAAGCTCAAGATGGAGACGCCCGAGGAGCTCAAGGCGAGGTTAGCGGACCACAGGGCCAAGGTCGCCGCGGCCAAGGCCGCCGGCCTCCCGCACCCGGGCATCAGCGTCAGCCCTGCCGCCGGCGCCCCGGCCAACGCGAGCCCCGGCGCATTCGTACGTTGCTCCCCTTGACGAAATCACACGGCAGCAGAAAATAAGAGAGTCCGAGCGCTAACCCCCTCCCCCTTTTCCGTCCACAGAACAACTCCCCCTACCCGGCCCCCCGCAGGGCTTCCTACGGGGCCGCCCCCGCCGATCCGCAGTTCCCTGCAAATGCCCAGGCCGCGGGCACCGTGCCGCTGGGCTACCCTCAGCCGGGCTTCCCCGGCGGGCCCGGCGCCTTCAACGGATTCTCGCCTGCGGCGCTGCCCGCGCGGCCGAGCAACAGCAGCCTCGCGGCGCCGCCTGGCCTGCCCCAACGCCCGCAGAACGCGGGCGGCTACTACAACGGCGGACCGACAGGCCAGCCCGGCGAGGTGGGCGATGCCATTGATCAGATCATCCGCGACGCCGAGCTCAGGCAACAAGACGAAGAGGAGCGAGGAGGCCGACGGCGGCGGCGAGAAGAAGGCCAAGAAGGGCGCGCGCATGGTGTACTCTGACGAGCACGTCAGCCCCGAGGAGAGGATGTCGCAGTTGCCTCGGTATGCATGGGTGCCCCCCGTTTCATAGACGTGATTGTCTCGTCAGAGAGAAACAGGAGGGGGGTTGGGGGTTGGGGGTTGGCAGAGGGCTTCAGCGTTGCAGCGACGGACGGTGTACAAGATTATATCACACGGAAAACGGATCACGCTGGTTTGGCGTTTTTTTTGGCGACACTACACGGAACGGCGAGGTCAGGTTGTGATTGGGGCGTGAAATGTGCCAGACTACGCGGCCGTCTGGGTTGGCCTTAGTTGTGTAATGTCATGTTGCCCGCATATGCGTATTCGTGAGCATTCATATTGAGATGCACTGTTTTCTACCCTGTAGGCAGTCGTCCATCCGCATGGCAGTCGCCCATCAGTACTGTGACGTTGCCCGCGTACACCTCGTGAGTTTCGTTGGTGAGATGAGCTGGTCTCTTCCCCGCATGACAGTCGTCCATCAGTACCACCTTGTTGCGCGGCCATTCGGTTGCCATCGAAGCATGATACCACCACGGGCACATGACGAAGCGCTAGCTCAAAGGTTATTGAATGCCAATCTCGTACATATACTCGGGGCGACGGAGACCGGCGCCGACGTCGCTCACAGTCCCGACGACGACAGAAGCCGCCATGGGCATCTCGGCACAGTGACAAGGACGCCGTGCTTGGCAAAGTCGAAGGGCGTCGAACGAAGCTTTCCTTGCATGGGTTCACTACGGGAGGCTTCCACGATTGCGATCGTCAGACTCACTCTGGCACAGCACGCCATCTTCTCCAAAGACAAGGTGTTCACCCTGTCTATTGTCTCTGCGCGGCACCGGGAGCAAAGCGGTCGCCGATGGCCAAAAGCAAGGTATCCGACACACACAGCGTCTCGCTGCTTCAAATGACTCGGGACGTCTGGCTGTTGGCTCGTGAGCGCGAATCCGGAACTTCCGAGAGTGTTCTTTTGTTATTTGCTGAACGGACCAAACCATCCATTCCGCGCACAACCAAGGGCGTCGGGCGCTGACGACCATGCTCTAGCATTGCTGCGGCGGGTCGCGTCGAGCAATGCTCAAGGCAGACTTCCACGTCGCGACCCGCCTCGCCGACAATGCAATTCACATCACCATTCAGCGCCTCGTAGCGGCTCCTTCCCGGCCCACTGCGCCTCGAACATTCCATTGTCCGACTTGGTGCTGCATGTCATCCATCTCACGCCCCCTCCTCCCCCCCTGGCCTGCCGAGACGAACGCCCAGCCGGCCCAGCCGGCGAGACGGGCGTGGCCATCTGCAAAAACGTGAGCGATTGTCGTGGATCAAGCTCTGCGATGTCCTGGTTCGATCTCTGCAATTTAGCCGGGACGTGTGTGGTGGCGTGAATGAGCAAGGGGGGGGGGGGTGCTGTCGACTGGTTTGTTTTTCTCCCCTTGGGAGATCCAATCTTGGTGTTCCCCCCCCACGCTGCACGGAAGGCGTTTTTATTCTCCTTGATGTACCGGGACGCGGCAACGCCAAGCTTCCCATCTCATTAGCAGCGAAAAACGTCCCGGTCGGCAGGATGCAGCCCTGGAAGGCCAGATGCATGCGCAGGGATTTAGAGGCCGATTCGCGGGGACGGAGGATTCTCTTGTGCGTTCTGGGCTGACGGAGGTTTTGGCTCCGAAGGATCCTGATCAGCGTCAAAGCTTGGGGGGAGCCGCGAGCTTCTTGCAACGTCAATCCAACGTCGAGGCTCGCCGTTGCTGTCCGCGCGAGATCACTGTCGCGGCTCTGGCGTTGCCACCCGACCCGATGGCTGTTAAAATGTACTCTAGATTCCATGCCGACGGACCTCTCGCCCTGTCGTCTGAATGAATCGTCAACAGCGAGCACCACTCGATACGTGTTCCAAAATAAAATAAAATAAATCGTCATTAACATTACAGCGCTGCAAGGCTTGTCATTCTATTCTATACCATATTCCGGCCTCTATTTAAACTTCGCCCACCCGTCCGTCTCCCGCTCGACGCTCTATGGAGTGGTCCGGATGTCAATCGACAGCTCAGGCACCCAGAACGTCACGGGCTCGCTCGTCGACAGGGCCTCGGAACCGAGACCCATGTAGCCGAGGTAATCCGTCGTCTTGGGAAAGTTGGCGCCCGTCATGCCCATGAGCTTGGTGACGAGCGGCATCAGGTCGCCGTGGAACTTTTCCGTCGTGTCTTTGGCGACCCAGGTCAGGACGTGCTGTTTCAAGCTGTTCTGGCCGACGTAGAGATTGCTGACGCTTTGGTTAGCACGTTGACTTTCTCCCAGAGGAGCAGATTCATGGACAGATCCATCGGCAGATCCATGGGCGGAGAGGGGAGGGAAGCTCACAAGTCGGTGCCGTTGATCGAGTCGGTGGCGACGGACCCCTCGGGCAGGCCGATGGGCTGGGTGGCGGGCCCGATGGCGCCGAGCCACACCATGACCTCGAAGGCGGCCTTGGTGCTGTCCTTGGCCGTCGTCTTGTCGCTGTCGAGGAACATATCGATGGCGACGTTGGTGTTGACCTCCTTGGCCTCGAGGGCCGTCACGTCCGTCTTGTCGACCGTGTCGTTGCCGAGGCCGTAGGTCCACTCGACATCGACGTTGACCTCGGTCAGGCTGCTGAGCGTCGCCGGGAAGACGTCGCCCTCGACCTTGATGTTGGGGAAGGCGTGGACGGGCGCCGACTCGGGGCCGCGCGGGTACTCCCAGGTGACGGAGAACTCGGGGGCTGTCGTCTTGGTGGCGTACGTTTGGTTGTTGAAGGACGTCACGTTCATGCAGAGGCTGCCCGGTTCGCCCTCTTCCCATCCCCACTGGTTGGGGTTCACTTTGGTTGGTGTCAGCAGCGTCGCACTCATTGAGCGGCGAACACCTCGCCTTGAGGGAGGAAGAGAGAAAAAAAAAACTCACATGTGTACTCCTGGCCCTTGGACTCGGGATGGATACCAAACGCCCGCTGGCAGTATGTTTCTTCCGTGATGCCATTGTTGATCGGAGGTCCTGGGGGTGACCAGAGAGGAGGCTGGCCCGTAGCCGAACGATGCTGATCGAGGCCGAAGAGGATGCCGAGGGTGACAGCAATGGGCAGTCCCAGAAGGCCTACGTTGACGAGAAAGCGAAAGTTGAGACCCATGGCGGACTGTGTTGATTGTGCAACGAGCGACGGATGGTGGGGGAGGGGGCTTGAGTTCCGGTCCTGACTGAACGAGAGACAGCGGATCGAAAATGTACGAGTGAAAGGGGGAAAACGTCAAGCGCCCTAAGATCTCATGGGATTTGGCGAGGAAGCGCACTTGACGGAGGACAACTGGGGAAGGGCCGCTTTCGTGCAAGTCCCTGGTGATCTCGAAACGGACGACGTCAACAAGTCTCAGCGAATGAACGGGATGGACCTCAGGGGAACAGAAATAAGAAAGGTGTGCGTGTGTGTGGAGGGTGTCTGGGTCCGGTGAGGGAGAGAGAAAGAGAGAGA